CTTCATTGTGTGCAGTTCGTCAGGAGGAAGAACTGCCTTTGCTGGATAGGATGAAAATAAGGCAGCAAAATCAGCAAATCCTGGAAAACCTCCCTCTGACCCTAAAGCTCACAAACAAATCAGAAACCGTCTCTAGCCAGGAGCTGTAAAGGAAACTGTAGGGCAACATGCTGTTCTCATTCCATCCCGTGGCTACTGCTCTCCAGTAGCTCTTGAGGGTTTGTAAGGCAGACACTGACTCTGTGTTTGTCTGATTAGTCAGTAGTTGAGCAAAATGTCAGCTGGAAACATCAGAAAGTGAAACTGGGGAGAAAGACAGTGTGCTTACCTGATAGGCAGTCCTTCCACTCGGGGACACGACTCGGGTGACAGAACGGTGATCCACCAAATCCAAAGCTGGGACAGCAGATGGGCCAAATATGAACTTCAGCCTGAAAGAAAAAGCATCTCTGTTTAGGTCATGCCACAAAAGGAGATCACCTGACCTAGTTCAATCCACAGGACTTAGCCCTGTAGAGGCCTATAGCCAAAGGGGCCCTTTGCATCCCCAAATCCCACCAGTTACAGCTCCACTATCCACCAAACAACGTGTCCATTTGCCATTCTCAGCTTTGCTGGCTTTCACCACTGTCTGCCAACCCTGCCTCTGAGACAGCCCAGATGACAGCCTTGCTCCTGGAAGACACATCTCTGCAAATCCCAGTGCAGATTTAATTACAAGGCATTTTTAGGATTTTTTTTCCCCCCCCCATGGAACATGCAGTGGTTCCTGTCCTGAACCAAAATGAGACAAAGTGCATCAGAGACACAGCAGCGAGATTTGTACCTCAGCCTCTGACTGTGAGGCAGCGTTAGCCATGTAGGTGAGAAGAACATCTGATAAGCTGCATGTCAAACCCAGACAGCTGTACCTCTAGCCTATTGTCCAGACAGCTCATGAGCCTGACATTATTGTAGAGCTGCACATCCAGCTGCTCCAAGAGCATTCCAAAGAGCCCAGGGGCAGCTGAGATAATCCTTACAGACCTTTTATTCACTGAGGAAAAAAATGTGCAGTCTAGATTAGTTGCAAAGGTAACCAACAAGAGAATCAGCAGCCATGAAACAACAGTACAAAACATGAGCAGGAGAAAGGAGAGGAACACTTCAAACAGTGCCAAAGAGCTGAGGCACAGCCGTCCCAACAGCGTGACTGACCTATGAGGCTGAGTCAACCTCACTGCTGACAAGCCAAGCAGACAGATTGATTCCAGGAAGAGCAAAACTTCACTTGTACAAAGTCGAGGCACAAGGACTGGCCCCACTTGAAGGGCTGAGCAGCGATGGGTGGGGGAACGTCAACGTTAGACATTCCTTAGCGATTAGGTTTGGGAATAGAAGGGGGCTGAGTTCAATGAGTTTCAGTAACTCAGTTTGAGGGAATTCTTTTTTCACGTATATAATTTGATCAGTCTAACAGGAAATAAGCAAGGGGAATGCCTGAAGGAAACTGAAGTTCTTTAGATATTTGGAAGAGATTCAGAAGTGAAATCAGAACACTTCAGATCCCTTGGTTATAGAAAACTGATGGGAATTCAGCTGCCAAGAGTTACCACCCCAGTGTTACTAAACTTAACGAGGGAATTTCTCTTAACTTTTATGACAAGAAGGAAGCAAAAAGTTGAGAGTTGTCAAATGTAATCCCACGCTTCAAAAGCCACTGTGGTCCAGAAGGCCTCAGCACACACCTCCCCAAAGGCAGACCTCACAACTGTTATATTAAGTAACTTCACACCCAAAATTAGTAAGGCCTGAAGAGTTCCTGGTGATCTCCTCCCCTGGCTAACCTACAGCAGGCAGGAACACAAAGTTAAATAGGATTTGAAAGAAAAGCTTTTCTCACTGTAGTGGTGCCTTCTCTCTACCTCTGTCACCAATCAGTGAGGACTGGAACAGAGTTCTTGGGTCTGCCTGGGTACGACTTATTCACAGGCTTCAATCAGTGCACGGGTGTTGAAGCCAACCTAGGAATTCCTACAGAAGAAACCTCTCAAGGCAATCTTCAAAGCAACAATTCCCTGGTACAGAGGGATGGAAAGTTCAACTTTCCCTTTCCATCACACATATGTATGACTCAAACGCAGGAGGGGATGGCAGGAAGCTGCTGTGCTCACAGTGACAGGAACATAGAGGAGATACATTGCTCCAGTGGCATGAATCACCAAACAGCCTGCTGCCACAGAAAACTCGTGACGGATCTGAAGGTGGACTCAGAGCTCAGGTTAAACATCCTGGGTTTCTGCATGTTTTATCCACCCAAATCAGTGCACATCATCACAGGAAATTCAGTGATACATTTCACAAATGTGGAAAAACCCTTGAGATATCCTCATTCCTGCTACAGGCAATGAACACTCAGCAACTCTGCATGAGAAGCGTTACACAGGGAAAAAGAGCAGTGCTGCACTGACAACGGGTTACCAGCTGTCCTTTGGCAGAACTTGGACAAGAAGCAAAGCAGAAGATACTCACCCCAGCAGCAGGTCATCAGGCACTGAAACAAAAAGGGTGATTTTGTTAGTGTGAGCCATTGCAAGAAACTTCATCCCAGGGAAGAGAGGCTCTCCCTCATCTGCCCCCAGGGGCCTCACCAAGTGCAGCCCTTCCAGCCCTGAGCCTCCCACGTCCTCCTCTGAGACCAGACCCACAGCAGCACTGTCTCTTCCCAAAACACGTGTAATAAACCCCACATCTCTCTCTGCCACTTTAAGAAGCTGGTTAAAAATACGTACATTGTTTTCCCTGAAGCTCTCTTGGCACCAGCCGAGAACTCTGTGGCATTCTAACTTTAAGTGTGTTGTTCTTTTCCCAGCATGGTCTTTGAGGGCCCTGCTAGTTTATAGCTCTTACTACAGTACACAGAAACATAACATTCTCATGTATTGGAACTTCTTGTTAAGATGGAAAATTGCACTTAGGAAAAGCAGTCTGTATAATCAATGGATATCAAGATGTTACAATCACAATATAAACAAGAGAGCTAGGCAAAGTGGACTATGATAACATGAGAGAATAAATGGAAGGCTTACCCTTATGCTGGGCTCACCACAAAACACCAGAAGGAGGGGTCTCCAGATGAGACCCTTCCCCACTGCAGCCAGCTCTTCAATAGGTCTAGGAGGAGCCAGGCTCCACCCCTTCCTGCAGCACAGGTGAATTGCCTTCAGCTGTGCTCCTCTGGCTGGCTCATGGCTCGCCTCAGGTGATCAATCAGAGGTTCAGGCTGTGACTCAGCAGTTCCCATACAGTCTCTTTTAGCTAGCAGCTTACACTGATCAGCCAATCTGCTATTTCTGTTATCACTAGCAGGACACAGCGTACATCTCAGTACTCTGCTACAAGACTATCGGTCTCCTAACTTTTAAAGCCCTTTCTTCCAACAATTCAAAATATTTTCTCTGACTTCATGCTGTTGGTTTGACTTTTCCAACTTTCTTCTGATTTTATTCTCCAAGGAGGCTGACCAGCTTCCTCCCGCGGTCACATCCCAGCACACAGCTTTGGGTGCTGTAGGGAAAAGTGGACTTTGAAAGGAACTCTGACTTTTTCCTTGTTTACAGAGGGATTTATAAACTTCTTTAAAAAGTCACATGCACGTTTTGGATCTCCTCTAACCTGACAAGAGCCACACAAGTGCAACAAAAAGCAGTTGAGGTGGCCACCCTGTTTTGATATGAAGTCTTTGTTCCTTCTGCACTCCAATGCAGTACTCAGCCAGACTTCCCTGATCATTTATTTGGTCAGTTTCAGCACAGCTAAAAGCACTCCTTGCACAGACACTTTCCTTAGGACTTTTTTTAGCGACAAAGACTAATATTCTTTCAGCACAGACCGCAGAACTGTGTCAGTAACCCAGAATGCAAGGAAGGTAACAGTTCTGAACTGGCTGCTGGAACAGACCAAGGTTGGCTTGTGCCTTCTTCCTTTAAGCAATAGGAAAGCAGCTCTTTGCCATGCGATGGCCGACGCTGTACCCTCTGCTGGTCACTGATGAAACACGACCAAGTTTAGGAAGATTTCCCTTTCAACTCTGGTTTTGAGTCCATAAAAAGGAGCACCGTGTAGGCATGACAAAAAGCCCCATGGAAGCATGGAAACGGTCATCCCTCACACACAGCCACCCGCACTGCCAGCTCTGGGCAGGCAGAATTTCCCTAAGTGCCGTGTTGGAAAGCATCCAACCAGGTGTTATTTTTTTTAAAGGGGTGCTGCTCCTCATTATCTCTACTTCAGAGCCCTTTGTGTTGATTCCAGGCAGGGACGCAAAGGCTGGGAACAGCCCAAATAACAGCGAGGGCCACGGCTGTGTGACGGTGTGCAAAAGACGCAGATGAGGGCAGGGCACCGACGCTGCTACGGAGGCTGTGCCAGCACCCGGGCAGCAGGGACGGCTCTGCTGCTCCTTACGTACCGTGGGAGGTCTCCCGAAAAGCCTTCCTGATCTCCTTCAGAAGCTCTTCTGCCACCGCCGGCAAGGTGCCGTCCATCCCACAGCGCTGCCCAGCGGACTGGGGGCGAGACAGAGGAGATCAGGAGGCGGTGGGAAGCCATTAAGGTCATTTTGTCAGGGCAGCGCTTCGTCCCAGCCCGACACGAGGCCAAGGAAAAGGCATCCGGCCGAACCCGAGCTGCGCGCCGGGCGCTTCTCGGCAGGAAGGGCTTCGCGAGGCGCGGGGTCTTTCAGGCGGGCCTTTCGGACGCCGCACGCATAAACGCACCGCGGGGGGAGAGCGGAGGGGGCAGGAAGAGGCCCAGGCCCGGGGCGGCCCCGGGAGCCCGGGGGTCTCTGGGGAGCGCCGGCAGCTGCCAGATCCCGGCAGCGGGAACCGAGCCGGAGCCATTCGGGGCCAGGGCCTACCTGCGGCCGCGTTGCCATGGCAACGGAGCGCGCCGCTCCGGTGACGCGGGGACTCCTGTCACGTGACGAGGGTGAGCTCTTAAAGGGCCCGCGCCCAGGGAAGATGCTGGCGGCGGCGCTGCCGCGGGCTCTGTGCCGCTCGGCCTGGCGCTGCCCTGCGGGGCTCGCGCGACCCCGGCCCGCCTGGCACGGCAGGGCCCGGCAGGAGCGGGGCGGCAATGGCGGCGGCGCGGGGTTCTCCAGGTGGCGGTGGGCTCGGCCGGGCGGGGCTGCGCTGGCCTTCCTTGGAGGTGAGGCGCGGCGGGCCGCGGGCGGGCTGGGCCGGACCGGGCCAGGCGGCGGTCACCTCTGGCCCGCAGCATTCTCCATCTTTCCCAGGGACGACGGCGAGGAGGACGGCGAGGACGCCATTATCCTCCTACTGAAGAAGGCCAAGGTGAGGCTCTGAGCGCGGCGGAAATGGCGGCCGTGCGGTGACAGCTTTCTCCCGCCGGGTGGGCACGGAGCCCCGCAGGGGAGGGCCGAGTAAAGGGGTTCCGCCGCTCCGTGCCGCTCTCTGCCCGCAGCTCAGCTCCATGAAGGGCGAACTGGATGAGGCCGATCGACTGCTGCATCGAGCGCTGCGCCTGGCGCAGCAGGCCGACAACAGGAGGGCCATCATCTACACGTACAGCACGGTAACCAGCCGGGGCGGCGAGCCGTGGGAGCCCGGAACCGCTGCGGAGCTCCAGCGCTGTCTGTCTTTTCCAGATGGCAAACGTGGCCTTCATGCAGGGACAGCTGGACAACGTGAGTGGGTCTGGCAGCCGCTGGTTTTCCTGTCGGATGGGCCGACAGCTGAGAGCTGGGATCTGTAAAGCAGAACATTCAGCCTGCGGTCTCGCGGTGCTGCTGAAAACAAAGCTTTCCCAGCTGGGCGTTGGGCTCCAACATCCAAGGGAAGGATTATTTCTTACTATTGAACGCCACAATCCTCGGCTCGAGGAGAACCTAGGAAAGCACTGCAGAGCCCCAGCTGGGATAAGTTTGTGGGCACCGTGGGGGTCCTGACCAGCGGGCGGTCGCACCGGACTCTGGTTGGCCTTTGACTTCTCACCACTCTTGATAATAATTGTGGCAATACGAATGCCAGAGTTTGAGGCAGATTCCTCCTAGCAGTCTTCCTTTGTAGGGATGTGTTGTCCTCATCCTCCAGTGATTCTTCAACATTCTCATTTCAGGCAGAAAAGCTCTACAAAGCAACGATGAGCTACTTGCTTGCAGGAGACATGAAGGAGGTGGGTTCTTTTGGTTAAGGCTTTTCACTGGGAGCATGAAGTGCTGTGCTCAATTCTTTGGTCTGTTTGGTGCGATGCTCTGCCTCTACTGGTACCTGGCAGCAGTAGCTGTGAGCCTGCCAGCTTTTCAGGAATGTCCTTTAATGGAAAGCTGCTCTGGAAACAGGATGGGCACATTGAAGGACTTAAGTTTGTTCTCTGGCAAAGTAACGGTTCTCCTGGGAAGGTGCAGGAGGAGTAACAGTTGCGTTGTGTGTCCTGGCAGGATGACAATGCAATCCTTGAGATGTCCCTCAAGCTGGCCAGTATCTATGCTGCTCAGAAACAGTGAGTTCTCTGCTAAAGGCATGTTTGGCTTTAATCTCAGCTTCACAGTGGTAATGGTGGCCAAGCAGAGGTTTGTGCCTCTAAGAACAGAGTGCCTAAGGAAGCTTTGATATGATAAGATACCATCATATGAAAGTTCTGACATATTTGCCTGCTCACCATCGTGCAGCAGCGATTGCTGTAACGACCCACCCAGCTTAGGGCAGAAGCAGCCATAGAGGCCACAATGCTCTAGCCTTAAATCCCCACCTCGCAACACATGCTTTTGAATGTAGTTGGTGTTTGGTGATTTGTAGTTTCTTTTTTTCCACAAAAGAGAGAGCACTGGGGGGGCAGCCTCTGTGGGCCTTTTTTTTTTTTTTTAATGGGGCTCCTTCCTCCCTCTTGGGTCCCTTTGCACATGGGTCAGAAGGGTGCGCACCATAATCCAGGAGCATTGAAGGCAAGAATGGAGGGGTAAAGTCTTATAGGATAAGGAAAGCATTCGCATCCATCCCTCTAGGGATGGAAGAAGCCTTGCACTGCTGAGCTGTTGTACATTGCAGGCACAAATTAGCCCTGGCTGGCTATGAGTTCTGCATCCTGACCTTAGAGGAGAAGATTGCCAAGCAAAAGGACTTGCCTGAGGATGTCTTGCCAGGTGAGAGTGCCTCAACTGCCAAAGGCTTCTTTCATTATCTTTTCCCTGTTCCTCTGTCCTTGCCTAAGCACCATCTTCATGCCGGTCCATTGTCTTCATGCTGCTTGGTTTTCCAGCTCTCATAGGAGCAGGTGAACTCATGCTTCATGTTGCAGTGTTCACTTCTACTTCCTCTCTATTTGCAGCTGAAGAAAAAGCCAACACTCGTCTCCTGCTGGGGATGAGCCTGGACTCCTACGCTCGCTATCTGGTAGACATTAACCAGCTCTCAGTGGCCCAAAAAATGTATGAGAAGGCTCTGCAGATATCAAGTGAAGTTCAGGGAGAGACTCATCCACAGGTAATGTGTACAATGGGAGTCAGACTAGTAAGGAAGGAAAGGCACAACGGCTGTGAGGGATGGAATGGGGGAGGGCAGTAGCCTTAAAAGCAGCTTTGCTGGCAGTGAATATAGACAGCACTGTTCTGCTGGTAACAGGGAGCACGTGTCACGTTAATATACAGGTACTTCCTTACCAAAAGCTTCTCTGGGAAGCACTTTTATTAGCGTAACATATGAATGGGGGGCTGCTGTAGGCTCAAAGTTCTACACAAGTTTTGCTCTGAGGATTCCTTTCCTGTCCTGCTGCAGACTGTGGTCCTCATGAATGACTTAGCAACTGTGCTGGATGCTCAAGGGCACTATGATGAGGCATACTCTCATGTGAAGAGGGCAGCTGAGCTGGCAAAGGAGACACAACACCCTGAGGAGCACATGGTGCTGAATAACCTGGCAGCAATTCTGATGCACAAAAGTAAGTGAATGAATGTCCAGTGTCTGTCACTTCTGTGCATTCCTGTTTCTAGTTTAATTCGTGGGCCTGCTGACTTGGGGTAGGCAACTTGTGTTGCATTCAAACCAGTCAGCTGCTGGAAGGTCTGGTCCAAGGTGAACCAGAATGTCACCCACAGGGACCTCGTTTGCCTTGTCCTGTACACAGTAGCTGTTCCAAAAAGGACAGAAGGCATTTGTGATTTGTTTTAGAGACCTTGATGCTGAAGCAGCACCTTGACACGTCATTATAGTTGCTATCTGGCTTCCCCAGTTGGTGGCAGATACTGAATGTTTTCCAAATCACACCAGTTCTAGAAGTGTTCCAGGTGCTCCTTTACTTGCCCTCTGCGTGTGGGGGATGTGGTTGGTTAGAGCCACTTTATTGTTCTCTTCTCACAGAAGACTTTCTGCAAGCAAAACAAGTGTATAAAGCAGCTCTGAAACAGGCAGAACAGAAAGGAGATGCTGATTCTGTCCGGCACATCCAGGAAGAATTAGCTGAACTGGCCAAGAGGAGAAAAGGCTCTCAGTGAGTTTGGCCAAAGAGTCCAACAGCAGCAATGGTGGGTGAATACAGGCAGCCTGGGACTAGTTTGGTACAATTCTCCAAAGGAGCAGCAACTGGAAACAGAGGAGCAGCTCTCCTTAAGGAGAGCTTAGTAAGAAGGGCTGTTATTGCCTAACTGTTAAGCCCAAAATAAAGTTCTGAAATCTTAATAGTATTTGAATTTGTGGTGTAATCTATGGGTATAATAATGTAATATACAGGATCTTTGTGCCAGTGAGTGCAGTTTGCCAGCAGACTGCAAGTCCAGCCTGTTACTGATACCTGCAGTTAGTCGAGGAGCAGCCATTTGCTATTCCTGACTTTTCACAGTATTCAGTTTCAAAACATGTCTGTCCTGAAGCCATGTTGTGAAAAACAGAACAGCCTGCCATGAGGCAGCACTGACTTAAATTTCAGACTAAGGAAGGAGGATCCAACCTAAGACAGGAATTCTCACTCTTTCCATGCCAGCCAGCACAGCAGGGTGCACCTATCAGTGCTGCAGTTCACTAACTGCAGTAGAATGCTTTCCACCATGTACCCACATCAGGACAGAGCTGCAGCCTCCTCATGTTATTTTCAGACAGGTTGCCTGAAGATCAAGTGTGTATCTTCAGAACATTTAGCGTGCAAAGATAGAGCCTGCCTTCTCCAAAGAGTAAAAATGTTACTAAACCAGAACTGCTATCAGAAATAAAAGCCTCTGACTACCTCACTCCAGCAGCCAGAGCACACTAAATGCCAGTTCTTCCTGTGCCAGGACACAATCTGGTGCTAGAATGCTGAGGTTTCCTATTGGGAAGGATGATATGTGACAAGCATCAGGCTTATCAATTATCACTTACATGCCATCATAGGGATTCAGTGTGAACAGCCTGTTTAAACAGCAGCAGTTTTCACTTTTTCCTTGTAGGGAGGCCTACTGTGAAAGACAAAATTAAGAAGTTACCGAACTGTTGTTGATCTGAGCATGCAGAACTACAGGTAGCTGTCACTGATCATCATTTTAACTGCTCGACTGCAGGGTCTTCAGATAAGCAATATAAGTCCTGGTTTTAATTGCATCATTATTAATTTACTTACAGTAGCATTAGTAGTGGCTCCAGCTCTTTGTGAACGTGAGCTAAGAGGCAGCATGTGAGCAGGTGCTGCTGAAGCTAGGAACTCACAGTCACACACACAGCATTGCTGTCAGCGTGCTAGGAAACAAGAGATAGGGATGTTATAGTCACACTTGTACCAACAAAGAGGCTCTAACGCATTAGAGCCAATTTTTCTTTATTATTTAGATTTTGTTTTTAGATACCAGCAGTGTCAGCTGGGAACCCTGCAGCAGCCCCTGAGGGAAATGCTTTGCCAGTTCTCATGAGCACAACTTGATGCTGCAAATCAAGAGGGAGACACAGGAGAATCAAACTGAGAACTGATCCCCTTTATTGATTGGTCTGAATCCAGAAGTCGCTGCCTACTGGAGAGACGCTGCGTGGGGAAAAACCCCGGAGATACGATGCAAGGGTTTTTCAAGTCTTCAATGATTTCGTATCAGAATCATGAGGTTGAGATGACAGCATTGCAAAAGCACTGGCCAGAAATCAGTTAAAAATTTGTAGCAGACCACAGTTTGTGAATGGGATTTATGAACACCTTCCTGTGTGAAACAGGTGAGATGTAATTCCATATGTGAAGATCATTGGAATTATGTTTAACTCTAACTTAGGCTCTGGAGAGGTCTTCACACTGGGAAAGTTAGAACTTGGATAACAAACAAAAGCAGCAGCAGCAGCAGCTTATGTGCAAACACCACTCACTGCACCTCAGAACTTTCCTCCTTTGGGTATCTTGCTGTTGCAGCACAAAGATTAGTGAGGAGCACGCTGTACGTAGTGTACAGTTAGCAGCAAAGACTTCTGTCTGTTTGTGCCTCTTCTGTGTTGCATTTGTTGTACTAAGAAAGTGAAAACAACTGAACTTTAGAATGCAACTCAACTCTCTGTTCCAATGTGAAAGCTCCAAACCAGGCAGATGTACATGTTACAGAGCACCTTGCTGGGGAACAAAAAAGGTGTAAAACCAGGATGGAGAAATCAGTGCTTTAAGGCAGCAGGGGAGCTGCCAGCTGCTCCACTCTGATGCAGTGTTTAAATTAAAGTAGCAAAGCAGTTCTGTATTTACAGCGCACAGTCAAGTTTTCAAATGAGTTCCCTTCTGATTTCTCTTTCCTACACCTATGGCAAAAAGGCTTTCCTCTATAAAGCAATTTGCTTTGGTAGATTTGCTATGGATAGCGATTCTGTACTGGTTCTTAACTGGACCATTAAGCTGTATCTTATGGAAAACCTGCACACAGGCTTCAGGTTACACAGCTACATTACACCTTCCATAAAATGTATTACAAATGCAGGGTTAAGTTTAAAATGTTTTGGCTGGAAAGTAACTTCTAAGCAAAGACTGGTCTGTGAGGTGCAAAAGCAGTTTGGAGTCTGCCAGGCCATCCAACTCCCCACCTCTGTGCTATCTGAAAATCAGTTCTACCCCAGAGATTTAAGCTCATTTTCCTGAAGTCAATGCAGCAAAGCTTAAGATGCTCCTGAAGATGGAAGGCAGGAGACTCCGTAACAACAGACCCAGGTGTGCACAGGAGCTAGGAGCAGAGCACAGCAGGCAGTGATAGATGAGTAACGACTCTCCCAGTACCACATACAATTAAAAAAAGAAAATAAATCCACCCTGATACGTATTGCACACCTCAGGAGTTCAGCCAGGCATTTGTAAGGACTTCCACCTTTAAGTTTTCTTATAAAGTCAGGAACTGGGATGTGAACACAGGCTTCAAAATTATTGTTACATCAAGATTGTAGAATCAGGCTGAAGGAAGGTAAAAATCACAGTACCTATTTCAACTGCTGTAACAGAAGTCAAGTAGCTGACTCGTGTTGCTCAATTATTCTATAAAAGCATTCTGTTTTTATTTCAACTTGGGATGTAGAGTTTTTTCCTTCTTGAAGGACTTATCATCAATCCACCCAGAGCCTCTGTCCAGGAAAACCATTTGCTGTGGTTAAACACGACCGTAAGGTTTAGTAGCCTATTTCAACTGCATACAATGCAGAAACACAGAACACTAAGGTTTGCTTTGGGGGCACAGTTGAAATTCCCAGTGTGCATAACAGTGAGGTACAGCCTCCAGAAGCTGCTCTTCTTTTTTTTTTATCCTTTTTAAAATTAACCATAACATACCCATGCAATAATATTTCTGCAGTGTTGCTAAATGAAATCAACTGCACCAAAAATGTACAATGTGGCAGAATTCAAAATTCAAAGAAATATCTCATCTTATTCCAGCGAGCTGCTATGTTCATGTACACAGTTCAGTACGGGGTCAGTCTTAAAAAAAAAAATAAATCAACATCTTCACAAGAGCTTGAACACCACTGAGAAAGTGTGGCTGGGGAAGAAAATATGAAAGCACAATGCCTGCAAGAAGTGGCACAGCATTAAACGGGCAACGATGCTGGGCTGGCTGGGAGGTTTGGTGTGGTAAGGGGAGGCTGGGAGGGAGGCCATGGTTATGAGGAGTAACTCTACACTGAGAAATGCTTTAAAAAAAAAATTACAAAATGACCCCCAAAGTTTAGGCAATGATTTGAACATAAGTACACCAGATACTATAGCAAGGGAAAAAACACTGCAAAAAGTACTCTCTATTTACAGAAGAATGATTTAAAGACATTATGGTTTTCTTTACAAATAGATGTAGAACAGGAATAGTCCACATTTTTAAAAACTTTTTACATATTTATCTTTAGTAAGTCAACCTTCTTGATCACAATCCTCCGACACACAGCCGTGCTGAAGGCATTTAACAGACTCTCCATTAATTCTTCATTGTGTGGCCCTCGCTCTCTTGGAAAGTCTCTCTGGGCACAAGTCAAAAATAAAATCTTTTGTTTTGACCCGCAAATTAAAAAAAACAAAACAAAAATATCTGCATAGTTCAGTCATCACTGTCAGACAGAGTCTCATATTGTGCTGAAAGCAGTGGTGCTGGCTCTCGCTCCCAGATCCTGTTCTGTTGGTGAGTGGTTGCTTGGCTCATGGACGGCGGGGCGCACGCGATGGAGGTCGGCGGCGTGCTGCTGAGCATCCGCATTGTCAGCGGGTTGTAAGGAAACTGTGTGGAACCTGGATGAGAGAGTATCTGCAAGTCAAACACGTGCCGTTCTGAGGAGTTATCAGAGCTCACATTCACAGATAGCATGGCTTTGGTCGCGACGACTATCAGAAAAACATCAGTTTCAGACAACGCTTGCAATCTTTTGATGAACACACAGCAGAGCTCTGTGTCTGCGTCTGACTGCTCCACAATGAGCATATCTAGTGCATCAAGCTGACAGAAAAGCTGCACGTCTCACCTGTTGATGAAGGCCGATCTTCCCAGGCCCACACCGGAGTCTGTCTGTGGTAGTCCCCTTCCGAATGCACAGATGAGACAGAAGAAGGTCTTTCAGTTCCCAGATATCCCTGTCCAGGAATCGGAGACTTGGACTTCCTACTGTTTGATTTCCCAATTAACTTCTGCTTGCTGACTCCCCCTCCTGGAAATAGAAGGGACACGTTTTCCAAAAAGCATCACGCTGCATTTTAGCCTCTATATGGGTTCCTATAGATGATCACTTAGCACCAAACACGAGCTGATGCCTTTTGGAATGCTGACTTACTACAACTAGAAGAGCAGCTGATACAGTCACTAATAACACTGTTGCTAGAAATGTTTTCTGTTTTTTTTCTTTTTAAATCATAAAATATGTGGGAGCTGAACTGCCTCACCTGAATTGGGTGATGGATTGGCTTCTTCCCTGCGTGTCTCATTGCTTGCTGATCCCACAGCACTGGAATTGCCAGGTGCTACTGCAATGGATTGTGACATTACAACTCCATGATCCTCGCTCTTGTCATCAAAGTTTCCCATCAATGCTTTTCTAATAATGTCTTCTAGACCCAGATTACTGGCAGGATCTGCAAAGGAATGACCCCTAGAACTGACTGCACCTGGGAGATAAAAAACATACATGGAAAGGTGGGAGGGGAGGCAAAAAACAAATCTCAGAAATTACAAAGGGACGTGGAAGATGATTTTAGAGAGAGGCAGAAAGTTAGGAGAAAAAAAAAGATTTT